CATCTATTATTCTAAAACAGACTGAACATACTATTTGTTAAAATTTAGCACTATGTAATTATCCATCCAATTCACCAGTGCATTATACTTCACAAAGGGCTTCTTCCCAGTTATTAACTGCAATTTCACAGAGTCTAAGGGTAATATCACACCACCCCCTAAGAAGTGCTTCAGAGGAGAACTGGGGGAATTAAAGACCTGTGAGTCTCATTTATAAATGGGGTAAAATTTTTGTACTATACAATAAAGGAGGGGATCACCAAACATTTAAAGGAAATGTGGCAAAATACTTATGACATTTTGGAAATGGAAAGATTAAAGTTTTAGTCAACAAACAATGGAAAGTCTTCAGATTATTTAAAATGTTGAGTAAGAAAAAAAAAGCCCAGTCTCAAAAGGATACATATTGTATGATTTTGTTTAACTAACACATTGTTTAACTTTGTTTAACATTGTTTAACTAACACAATCTTAGAGATGAAGAACAGATAAGTGGTTTCCAAAGATTAGGGATGGGGGGTAGGGTTGTGGCTATAAAAGTTTAGCATGAGGAAGCTTTATGGTGATGGTGATCAAACAGATCTATATTTTGATTGCAGTGGTAGCTAAATGCAAAGCTATACTCGTACATGTGTTAAAAACTGCACAAAACTATAAGACACACAAAAGAATGAATGTATAACTGGTGAAATCTGAATAAGTGCTGTGGATTTTATCTGCCAATTTCCTGGTTTTGGTTTTGCCCTACAGTTATTCAAGTTGTCAATATTGGGAGAGGTGGGGTGAAGGGTACATGGAACCTCCAGGTACATTTATTTGTAATTTCCTGTAAACTCATACTCATTTCATAATACAAGTAAAAAAAAAATGACCAGTGCCAAGAAAAAGAAACTTCTCTAAATGTTGGGCAGCTATAGAATCAAAAGGCTATTGAGCTACAGCTATTCTGGGAAGATAATAATAAAGGCAGCATTGGTTTTTCATCTCTTTGAATCCCCACATAAAAACCAAAGACACACTGTAGAGGAAACACCCATGGACAACTCTACAACAAGTACAGGTGACCTGTTGCCTGCACCCCCAAGTGGAGGGTGAGGGTCAAACCCCCAAAAGCTAAGACCTAATATAATTGTTGGTGCAGGAGGAAAAAGAAGGAAGCAACCATCTGCCAGAACTGAGAACAGGAGAACCACAAAATAGTCAATAGTTTGGAAAGTACTAGGGACCAATTTTATTTTTTTTATATTTTATTTTTTATTTTTGAACATGAAAAAGTTGATTGCTAGCCCTAAAAGACCAAAGTTATTGAACAAAGTCATTCAAGACAGCAGTTAATGTCAATGTAACTAAGCAAATTTTGTCAGGCAAATTTTCTTTCGCCCTCTCATTTGGCAACATTCCAGAATGATGAATGAGAAAGACTTCAGTTCTCTCAAGGTCAGGCCAGTGATGAATTCTCCTTTGTAATCCCCACAGTAACTACCACAGTGTCTTTGCCAAAGTGGTCAAAAAATGTGCTGAGAAAAAAGTGTATTTGCCTGTGTATATTTTTCCTTTCTTACAAACATGCATATATATGCACTGTGGAAAAAAGGGTTTTGATTGTTTAAATATCTGTTGTGGGAGTAATGAAGATAAGGATGACAATTTTTTTTAACATATATATTACTATGAAATTCCACTATAAAAAAAAATGAAATGAGTACTAATCTGGATTTTGGCTATATTTTAGAATTGATTTTTTGACATTTCACTAGATATGGATCTCAGGCTATTTAAAATATGTTAGATTAAAAAACTGATGCAAATTGTTTAAGTACTCACTTTTCCCCTCCTAACCGTAGCTACTGCTTGATCAGATCTAGACTTATTGTGGCTAGAATACAGTATATTTAAACAAATGTTTTTATGTGAACCCTGAAAGAAATACCCATAGGTAGTTTTAAATTGTTTATTAAAGGCACAGGTTCATTTAGGGCTGGTGGTAACTAGATAAGCAGCTTAATATTTATAAGTGAAAGGGAAGAGAATTATTATGTTCCAGGCACTGGACACATGAAGAGAGAGTTGTGTTAGCCTTAGTTTCTGATGCTATCACAATCATTCTACTTGTTTACTATCCTAGGTAGGATAAAATACTCAATATTTTCATGGTTTCTTGGTTTTAAGTCTCTAAAAGCAGCAAAAGGAACAAAAGGAGAAGGTAAGTTTAAGACTGCTACAGTCTAAAATATAATAAATAAGTATTATAGTAATACTGCCTTAATAATACAAGAGGACTAAGGTAACTTTTAGATTTCAATGGAAATTGTCATTCTGAAGTGAAGACAGAAAGGGTAACTACAAAAGGCAGTTATTTAAAAAACATGAATCTTGAATCAAATTTTCTTTCAACAAGATCTAAACATTTTAATTTAAAATTAACTAATATATCACAATTCTGTATTGCTTTTAAAGTTATTTTGTTTAAAAATGACACATTTCAGAACCAAAGTATATTTCTATTACATGTTAGTTTATCCACTTAAGAATAAACCACAGTGTAGCTCACTTAACCTAGGAGTCAGGGTTTAATGACAAAGTCCGTTGCTAGCAATGGACGTGCAGGTAACCACCAAAAGTTGTAAATACAGGCCCTAGCTGGCGTGGCTCAGTGAATTGAGTGCTGGCCTACAAACCAAAGGGTTGCTGGTTCGAATCCCAGTGGAGGGCACATGCCTGGGTTGCAGGCCAGGTCCCCAGTAGGGGATGCGTGAGATGCAACCACACATGATGTTTCTCTTCCTCTCTTTCTCCCTCGTTTCCCTTCTCTAAAAATAAATGAAAATCTTTTTTTTTAAAAAAAAAGTTGTAAATACAAATCCCAAACTGCTTCTATAAACTGAAGACCTTTGTTGAGTCATAGAAATACAAATGGGGCATTGGCACTGTATTCAATGAAAATGGTCTTTATGACTAATGCATGAAGTGCCATCTACAGTGGTCATGATCTTCAGTCTTAGCTTCTAGTTGCTTTTCACTGGTAGCATCTTCACCATACTTCATCCAGACAACTATTTACAAAGAATGTTCAAATATGGAATTCAAAGAGGCAATGTGGCTTTTCACCAAAAATAAACCAGCTTGTTCCTGTAATTTAGTAATAGCTATAGAGGCCAATATAATCCAGAGAAATAAGAAATTAAGAATCAAATTGAAAACAGAGACCGTTAAGTGCTCTAGATCAAAGTTTCATTAACTATCTCACTCATTTCTGTGAAAACCTTCCTGCATTAGCATTTTAAAAACCCCAGCCATTTCCATTCTTATACCTGTATCTTATACACAGATGATGGGAATGATAGGAAATAAAAGTATATTAGTTCCCCCCTAATGTACTCCAAAACATCAAAATTGTTTTTATTCATGATTTGTACTATTACAGATGGCAAGGAGGCATGGGGTTAATTGGGAGAATGGCGGGAACATTCTCATGTTCCAAAACCAAACCAGAGATTTTTCTCTTTATGTGGCTCTTGGCATGCCAGAGGGGACGGCACTGCATCCAAATACAAAGCAATGAAGAAACAAGGAAAGAGGGAGAGGAGAGGGAGAAGAAACTGGGGTGGGGGGTGAGTGGGGAGGGAGACTCTAATAATTAATGCTATAGGTGACAGACCTTTTAAAATATTTAAAATAAAAAAAGTATTGCTATCAACAAGGACATTTCATTTTTCTTCCTTTCTCCATTTTTGTACCTAAACATTATTTACTTATTTGAAAAAAAATCTAAAGTAACTCAACATCTCAAATGATCCATGAATGTATTAAGGAGTACTGTCACTTAAGTTCTCAGGAAGTAAAATGCTGGTAATAGGTTGGTACAATGTTTTTAACAAATCTCTACATTTTACTGGTCAGCAGCTGCATCTCTATGTAACTGACAATTCTCTTTTATGAATACAATCTCATCTAATTATTTTAGAGCTCACCAAAGTTCAAGTCTTTCCCTTTGTTTGTACTAGCTCCAAATATTTTCTACTTTAAATGGAAAAGGAGTTAACTCTGAAAATTCAATGGTTATTGTATTATTTACTATGGTGAGAGGGGGAGTAGGATGAGAGAGGGTTAATTAAAAAACAAATTACGACATATACAGAAACTTATTTCCAAAATGAAGGGGAGAAAAGAGGAAGGGCAAAGTAGTGGCACTAACAAAAGTTTGAAGAGCAAATCCTGAAGCCAGATCTGAAGAGGAAACAGTCAAAAAGAAAACAAAATTATAAAGATGTATAATGGGATTCTTTTCCTGTCTCAATGATTCAGTTATAAATATAGATCATTAGTCTTCTCTTTATACATGTAACAAATGCCAAATACTTCACTGCCGTGATATTTCTAAAATTGACTTTCACATTTGTTAAAAAAGGTAAAAATCACATACTTTTCTTCCCCTCCCCCAGTTCAAATTCTGAACTGAAATATTACATGTACAACAGCTGATTCTAACTTCTATACAAAGTCAAACCACATTAAGATCCTTTGCCTATATAAGGAGTTACATAATTTCTATCAAACTTGCCTCAAATTTAGGCCTAAGAAAAATTCCTCAAAGCAACTCAAAGCAAGTCAAGGAAAAAAGAAAGCTACAAAGAGAGAAAAAAAGACCAACAGATAAGTCGAATAACTCTGAAAAACTTGAATCTACCATTCAAGTACTGAGAATACCCCAAAAGGGACAATGAATGGAATCTATTACAAGGAAGTCAGCAAAATAAAATGCAAATCTCAAGCATGATAAATGGTCCTGACGGGCTGTTTGCTGAAAGGGGGCTAGCGATCCATTCCACAGTTCCTTTTGGACGCTAAAGAAGGGATTCGATAGAAGGTTGTCATTCTGTTTTGCAATTTTCTCTGGGTTGTCTTCAGAAAGTAGTTGTTTGCGTTTTTCCTCCATGTTGTGCAGGCCATTTCCTTAAAACCCGAGAAGGTAATAATTTTCATATATTCAAATACTTCTTTTAGAAAATGGAAAAAGAACGCGAGGCCATGGCAGTAGTGTTAACGATTACTCTTATTGCTTCTTTAGCTGCCATGATCAGTGGTGTCAAGCTAGATAATGGTTTGGCCAGTTTCAGGAAAGGACGCTGTAACAATTCTTTGGCTGAACCCCTTTTCTCCACATTCATCTCCAAACATCAATTTAAGAAATCCTGAAATATTGGGGAAAGTTTCTCTGGGTTCTTAAGTTCTGGAGTTCCATTAGTTGCTATCAAGTACAAAGCCCTCAAGGGATTTCACTGAGGTATGGAGGCTCTCCTTCTACCATCTCAATAGCCATGATACCTAAAGACCATCTGTCCACGTTAGGGCCATAAGCTTTCTGGGTAACCACCTCTGGTGCCATCCAGTAGGGCGTGCCAACCATGGTGCTTCGCTTGCTCTGCTCAGAGGTGAGTCAGTACGTTTAACTGATCCTTCCATCCCCAAAAGTACATTGTCACTTTTGATGTTTCCATGGATCACTTGATTTGCATGTAAAAACTCCAGTGCCTGTAAACCTGCCCTGCATACAGCCGCAATCTCTGCTTCATCCATGCAGGTTTCTGTTACAACCTCAGTAAGTGATCCCCCAGCAAGGTACTCCATTACTACAAACAATTCATCTCCCACCAGGTAACTGTCCAAGAAGTTAACTATGTTGGGATTCTTTAATTCTTTCATCACCAGAATCTCATTAATGATCAATTCCTTCTTTGGCTGCTTCCGTAAATTAATCTGCTTGATAGCAACCTCCTGTCCCAATGCCACATCGGTAGCAGTGAAAACTGGACCAAAAGCCCCTTGCCCTGTTTTTTCATATCTTGTGTATTTTTTCTTAGGATCACCTGTGCTCACAATAGCTCTTAATTTCTCCATGATCTCTCCATCTGTCATTTCGGTCTTCTTTTTCTGTTTGTCAGAAGACTTGGTACCACCATCAATATTAGAATCACCAGCTGGTGCAGGATTAGGGTCAATTACAGACTGTGTATAAGTTGATTTTGTATGATCTGGTCTTGGGGCAATAACAGGAGGAGTAGACTCTTCATCATCATCATCTTCCTCTGTTGCTGATGTTTCTGATCCCTTGGTATTCAGTGCTGATGTTCCAGACGGAAAGCCATCTTTCTCTGGAGGAGTAAAGCTCAGATACTCCTGCTTCACAGTGTTGGAGTCATAGAACATCCAACACAGCCTGAGGATTCTTCTGTTGCTCTGGTTCGGTGATATCGGAAATCTGTAATAAACGAGCCCACTGTTCTGGCATGCCAGTGAGTTCTCCAGTAACAGCATCAAAGGCAACATGAATGGTGTACTCAAAATCAGATGGAGGAGAAATTTCTGGCCATTCCTTCTCTTTCTTCTCACTTCCTTTCTCTGTGACTGAGAGTATAGAGACAATTTTATTCCTGGGCTTTTTTTTTCCCCTCTGAAACAGAGGGCAAAGGTTTCAAACTGTTAGGGACCAATTTTAAAGTGTTAATCTTTTATCCAGCAACATTGCTGAATTATTTTATTGCTTCTAGTAGGTTATACAGTTTCTTGGATTTTAGTGTTAATCTTCTATCCAGCAACATTGCTGAATTATTTTATTGCTTTTGGTATATTATACAGTTTCTTGGATTTTCTAAGGAGACAACCGTATTGTCTATAAACAATGGAAAGTTACTTCTTTCTTTCCAATATCATTTTATTTCTTTATTTTGTCTTATTATTTTTGCCAACACATTCAGTACTATGTACTAGAACCTCTGACTGGTTCTTGACCTCAAAAAGAAAACTACTAACATTTCCCTGTTAGGTATGATATTTATTTAGACTTTCAGATGGTCTTCATTGAGTTTTATAATAAAAATATTTTTTCTGTGTCACAATATTACAAAATATTAATATTGGCTAAGTCTTGGTAGAAGATTGTTGTAAAAATAATTGCAACTTTTTTGCTACTTCTCCCATTGACAGCCGAAGCCTAATTCACCTCTCTGTGAATCTGTGCTAGGCTTAGTAACAAGCTTGACCCTGAGAACGTGGTAGAAGTGATTTAGAAGGCTCTGCGGCTTCTGCCTGAGGCTCTCAGGACACTCTTCAGGAAACCTGAGCGCGAGTTGCCATGTAAGTCTGCCTACCCTGACTGCCATGCCGGAAAGGCCACAAGAAGATGCTCCACTGGAGATTCTCAAACGAGTCTAGTCTTCAAGGCATCATCCCTAAGGTGTCAGACACCCAGTGAGGCCATCTTCAACCTTCCGGATTAGCCCATCCACCAGGAGGGGAAACTTTGTTGGCACCAGCAGAAAAGTCAACAAAGCCTTGCCCAAACTTCTGAGCAATAAAACTGTGAGACGTAAGAAATTATTTGTTTTAAGCCACTAGGTTGTTTGAAGCCACTACCACTTGGGATAGTTTGCTCAGCAGTAAGAGATGTCTAGAACATGGGTGCAGAAACTATTTTTCATGGTTTTACATTTTTTCATAATTTAACAAAATTGAGTCTCCTCCTCATTTTTGGAGTTGAGGTTATTTTCCATTGTTGAGGAAAACAAAAAAGGTAAAGATAGGAAAGTGTAGCCTAGAGGTTCTTGGGTTCAGTGCTGTCCCCACTCTACCAATGCTAAGATCAAGTCTGCATGATCAGAGCTACTAGTTCAATAGGAGTGGATTAGAAAACGGTGCCCTTAAATAGGCAGGTACTCTGCTGCAGGCCCATCACTTAGTGATGACCAGCATCTTCATGCAAATCAGAAAAGGAGGGCCTTTCCCAGGGCAGACATAGCCTGACACCAGACTGTGATGAACGAAGTGCAAGCTGGGCCTCAGCATCCTTGTCCGGGGGATAATTAGTGTAACCTATATGTGATATCTTTATAATTTAAAGTGCAAGGCCACATTCCTACATTTGCAAATGACACAATTTCTTGTGAGTGGCAATGAACTAAGTTGATGAGGATGGAAAAATCTTATAAATCTGTGTGAGTGGGCAGAAAGGTAGCAAATGAGCACATTAAAGCATAATATGAGCTATCAGTCACAGCTAAGGAGAGGAAACTGGGGCTACTGTAGATTGTTCCCTGAAGATAAATGCAGAGGCTCCTTCTGACAGTAGAAAGAGCAGCCACTTAATTGAATCACAAAGTGACATTCCTCCTGAGAAGCAAAGCATTGCCACCTACTCATCGGATGCTGTGATGGAAGATGGATAGGGCGGAAGCCATCAGGAGGACTAGAGAATAAGTAACAGCATGAGGGCTCAGAGGTAACAGGGGCTTCTGTGTATCCTAAGTGGGACACAGGACTAACCAAGCAGATCCCAATGGGAGCAGCCGCACGGGTGGAGCTGGCCGCAGTGACTATACACAGCATGACTAGGACTGGGAGCAAGTATCTGTGATGATGGTGGTGATGGCAGTAGCAGCAGCAATGAGCTGATGTCCCAGCTGGTACCAATGATTGGACAGCAGTGGCGGTACCAGCCCTTTAACGCTGGCAACAGTGTAATGGAGATAAAAGCAGCGGTCAGGGACTTGTTCGACAAATACTTCATCAACTCTTTATTCAGCACTGACCATGTTTCATGTTGGGTAGATAAATTAGCAAATACCCATTATAGGACCAGTCTCATAACAGAGAGAGTAGTACAAAGATGATTAGAACATAGTCCCCACCTATCAGGGACTCAGAACTGAGTATTGGTAGCACACAGGAGAACAAACAATTATGGCAATGGGGTCACTGTGGGGAAGAAATATGGATTGTATGGTCCAATGCAAAAAGAGAAAAGATATTCCTTTGCTCTGACATATAGCATTAGAGAAGGCATTGTATAGGCACTGCATGTTACAAGACAAATCAGACATAGATCCTGATCTGGGATGCTTATAGTCCAGTAGGTGAGGTAGGACAATTCTATAAAATAAGGTAGAAAGGTCTGTTCTAAGAAAGTTTCAGGAAAAATATCTTGGGAGTTTAGAGAAAGGCTCACATATAGTATGCACTCAATATTGTTTTAAGTAAATGAACATTCCACCTATTCTATCTTGAATACTGTATTTTTCTTCCTTGATACTCTTCCATATCACTCACTTAAAACAATATTTATGCTGATATAACCTGAATGCGTGTGTCCCCCAAAATTCCTATGTTGAAGCCCTGACCCCAATGTGATGGTACTTGGAGACATGTCCTTCGGGAGGTGATCAGGGTTAGATGGTGTCATGGGGGTGGGCCTCGTCTGGTGGGATTTGTGCCCTTATAAGAAAGGGCACTAAAGAGCTTGCTCTCTCCCCCGGTGAGCACACACACACAAAAAGGCCATGTGAGAACAAAATGAGAAGGTGGCCATCTGCAAGCCAGGAATAGAGCCCTTGCCAGAAACAGAGCTGGCCAGAACCTTATCTTGGACTTGCTTCTGGAACTGTGGGAAATAAACTTTTGTTGGTTAAGGCACCCAGTCTATGGTATGTGGTTACAGCAGCCCTAGCAAACTAATACAGATTTTGGTACAGGGAGTGGGGCCCCTGCCTCCCCCAAATTCATGTCCTTCCTTCATGGAAAATACATTCATTCCATCCCGACAGCCCCAAAAGTCTTAACTCCTTGCAGCATCCACTCTAAAATCTCAAGTCAAAAGTTTCATTGAAAGATTTTTCTTCTTTTAATTTATTTTTAGAAAGAGAGGGAGGGAAACATCGATGTGTAAGACAAACAGATCGGCTGCCTCTCGCACAGCCCCAACCAGGGACCCTGCCCCGACTGGGAATCAAACCAGCGACCTCTCAGGTCACAGTTTTGCACTCAATCTGCTGAGCCATACCAGCGGGGGCTCATTTAAATATCACCTAAAATAAGTATGGGTGAGACTTGAGATGTGATTCACCCGGAGGCAAAATACTTCTCTAGCTGTGAACCTGTAAAACTAGTTATGTGCTTCCAAAATACAGTGGTATGACAGGCATATTGCAGACATTCCCATTCCAAAAGGGAGGAGTAGGAAAGAAGGAAGGGGTGATGGGTCCCAAGCAAGTCTACATACTAGCAAGGCAAATTCCATTAGGCGCACTGGGGTGGAAGTGTCACCTCCACAGCTCCAGGGTGGGGCGGGGGACAGCCCTAGCCATGCAGCTCTCAGCAAGGGTGGCCCTGGCCCTGCAGTACTGGGCGGGGGCATCCTGGTGGCCAGGCCCACCCTTTAAGATAGAAGAGGAACCAGCTCTGCCCCCTAGTTCTGTGGTGGGAGTGGCAGCCTGAATCTGAATAGCCTTTGGGTCATTTTTCCTATTTCTTGAAAGATAAGAATGTTCATGGCTGATAAGCTCTATGGTCCCATCCTGTAAAATATCAAAAGTCTGACAGCCTTCCTTCATTCTGTCCCATTTTTAGCCCTCTTTAGTCCCACGGGACAGTGTTTTGCTGGTATAATCCCATCTCTATCCATGGCTTCTGCTAACATGGATGATTAAGTCCATGAATTGCACTCATGACGTGTCAAATGGTTGTTAAGCCACACCCTGAGTTCTCTTCAGAACAAGCTTTCTCATTATTTGCAATATAGATAGGCTCAGAATTTTCCCAATTTCCAAGTGCTGGCTCCTTTTTACTTACTAGTTCCTTCTTTGATTCATCTCTCTCTTCTTGTATTATACTGTAAGCCATAAGGACAACCCAAGCAATATTTTCAATACTTTGCTTAGAAGTCTCCTCTGCTAAATATCCAATTTCATCACTTGCAAGTTCTAGCCTCTACAAAACAACAGAACCCAATTCAGCCAAGTTCTTTGCCACTTTATAACAAGTATCACTTTCCTCCAGTTTTCAATAACCTGTTCCTCATTTCTATCTGAGACTCCACTGGAATGGTGTTTAACATTCATATTTTCTACCAACATTCTGTCTATGATTTATATATTTCTGTAAGAAGATGGAAGTTTTATCTCCAGTTCTTTTTTTTTTTCTGAGCTCTCACCAGAATCACTTTTAATGTCCTTATACCTGCCAACAGTTCCTTCATAGCAATTGTGGCTTTTTCTAGCATACACTTCAAAACTCTTCCAGCCTCTCTCCGTATCTCCAATGCCACGTCTACATTTTTAGGTATTTGTGAAAGTAGCATTAACTCTTAGTCCAAAATCCATGTTACTCAGGGTTCTCTGGAGAAGATGAACCAATAGGATATATGGATATCCATAAACTATATATATAAACTATACATATATAAACTATATATATTAGACTCATGAAATTATAGAGACTGAGAAGTCCCAAGATCTGCAGTCAGCAAGCTGAAGACTCATAAGAGATCATGGCATAAATTCCAGTCAGAAGGCTGGCAAGCTGAAGACAGAAGAAGAGCCAATGCTTCAGGTCCAGTACAAATGCAAGAAAAGATCAATGTCCCAGCTCAAGGCCGTCAAGCAGTTGAAGTTCCCTTTCACTCAAGGGAAAGTCAGCCTTTTTGGTCTATTAGCCCTTCAACTGACGACAATCTGCTTTATTCATCCAAAAACGCCCTCAAAAACATATCCAGAAAAATGTTTGACCAAATATCTGGACACTTCATGGCACCGTCAAGCTGACACATAAAGTTAACCATTACGCTGACTATATTTTGGTCTCTGGGAGTACAAGGCAAACAAAGTTTCTCTCCTCATGTAGCTTATAGCCTATTCACTGGTCACATAAAAAATTTCAAACACCGTTAAATGCTTACAATGTGGACCAAGGAAACAAAGTGTATGAGAGGAGGTGAGGGTATGCAGAGACATTTAACCTTACAGAAATTCAAGAGCCTTTGAGCTCAAGAATAAAACTGGAGTTATGCTTTGGAAAGACTAGTATCTAAGACTAGTAATCTAGTATCAAGGTGTAGAATGACACACAAAAGAGAGGCACGGGAGGCCGGGAAGCTAATACGGCATTCAAGAAAGATGAAGAAATGGGAAAAAGAGAAAAAAGGGAAGAAACTATTATTTATTAAGTACTTGTTAAGTGTCAGATATACTTTTAAATGTTTTCACATATTTGAACTGGGAACTGCAGAAAGCATGAAAAGAAAGAAAAATGTTTAAAAGATACTATAAAGAATCATCAAGATTGCATAGCTGATCTTGTGTTTAGATGTGTGTATATTGGTCTATCCACTTGT